TACTGGTACTTATTCATTTGGTCCTAGTTCTTATTTATTAGATACTGGTACTCATTAATTAGATACTACTAAAAATAATGCAAGGCGTTTTAACATTTAATCTATAAAACGTACTAATATCTATTTGATTGCTACTAGTATATATTCCATTAAGTAATAGTACTTTTTCATTAGATACTAGTTCTTCTGTATTAGATACTGATACTTATTTCATCTTCATTCTTCTGTAACTAGTGACACATTTCTAATTTTTACCATTGGCTTCTATGGAAATATTCCCTTCAGCCTTGTACTATTCAGTTCTGACTAGTATGTGTAGTATGTGTATAGTATTAATAAGTATGCATTAGATTATTTTTAAGTATTCATTAAAGTATTATTAAATACTATTATTTTTCTTTAGGTACTAGTACATTTTCAATAGATACCAGTAGTTATTCATTAGGTATTAGTACTTATTTATTAGACACTAGTATCTTTTGTAATCACAACTGATTTTTACTTGTCGTATATTACGACTAGTACTACTATCTAATAATAAGTACTAGTATCTATTTAATAGGTAAAAGTACCTAAAAAATATGGACTAGTACCTGATGAACAATTTCTAGTACATACAAATATGTACTAGTCACAATTGGAATACATACTACACTAAACAGAACTGAACAGTTGATATCTGAATGACAGATCCCCATAGAATTTAATGGAAAAATCCAAAATGTGTTACTAGAAACAATAGAAGAGTTTCTAGTCACTACTGAAACAAGTACTACTCTCTAATGAATAAGTACTAGTATATTTTAAAAAAAGGTACAAGTACCTAAAGAATAAGCACTAGTAGCTAATGAATAAGTACTACTACCTAATGGAATAGATACTAGTAGCTAAAAAAAACAAGTACTAGTAGCATGAAAATAGATATTAGTACGTTTTAAGGACTAAATGTTAAAATGGCTTGCCAGTGGTCATTCTGACAAGTCATAACAAGACAAGTAAAAAAGCAGTTGTGACTAGTGAGATAATTTTTACTAGTAACAATTACAAAATAAACTAGAGTTTAATAAGTACTAGTACCTAATAAATAACTACTAGTATGTAAAAAATATGTAGTAGTCACAACTGGAATACATAATAGTCAGAACCGAATAGTTGATATCTGAATGACAGATCCCCATTGAAGTGAATAGCAATCATCTGAAATGTGTTAAATGTTAAAATAGCTTGCCATACAACTATTTCAAATCAATCTTTCTCCTGAAAAAATCTCTAATGTCCTAAAAGCTCATAATCAACATGCAGCTGAGAGGACGATGCTCCACCTCACTATAAAAAGGCCATTGTCAAACTGCTAAAAATGATGAGTTATTTTGGGATGAAGCATGTGGACAGGTGATAAATGATCTAATTAGGTCTAATGAGAGGGGTCTAATTAGTCACCTTTGAAAAGAGCGCACAAAGCATGCTGGGTAAAAACACAACATCTGCTCGGATGAAAACAGCGTTCAACGCATCTCTTACAGAATTGCATAATCGGTCCAAGTCTCTCATAAAACTTTTGTAAATTCTCTCGCAGGATATTTTCAACTCAGATCCATTTTATCCTTTTTCTTTTTATCATATCTTTCAGAAAGTACACACAGACTATGAGAAAGATGAACAACAACAACGCATTAAAGCTACAGTGCCTGTATAAACCCAGTTCAAATTCATATCTCAAACATGCCATTCAATTTACCTTCACAAAAGTTTCTTAAAGTCTGGTAGTATTTTGGTTGTTGACGTAAAACAGTGACAGCAGTTTCGTAAAACACCCAAAAACTATTTAAAATGACACTAATTCTTGTATAATTACTATGAGTGTCATTCTTTTGAGCTTTATAATTGAGAGACTACATGGATCATTCATTTTTACACTACAAAATTATTGATGTGAACTGTAAAAAAAGCTCGAATGTGATTATAAATGTTATTCAATTTGGTCAAAATGGTTAAATAATTTAACCTAAAAAGCCATTATAGTCAAGATTTCTTTTTCATATGAATAGCTTCAGAACTGCACTGATGGTTTATTAACCAAACACATTTTTGAGGCTTATTATTTATTAACTAAAACTACTGAAAAACATTTTTGTTAATTAAAATAAAATATGAACTGAAATAAAATATAATATTTGATTTCAGCTAGTTGCCAAAGCAACATTTTACATTTTTGTTTAGTTTAATTGAAAAATTAAAAACTACATAGACATTAATAATAATAATAAAAAGGTTAAATTTAAATGTAAACGTTAAATTTGGTTAAAATGGTTTCAGAAAGTAACCTTAAAAGGGACAAATGAAATTAAACTGAAATTAAATGAAATGAAAACTATACAGACATTTAAATGACAAATAATAAACACAAAAATGGCAAAAATACACAATACAATTACTACAACTTTAATAAAAAAATAAAAAAAACAGTTCGTTGCTGTAAAACGCTGTCAGTGTGAACGGCCCTTCAGAGACTGTACGATGGCGTCACGATCTTTGGCTTCCAGATGACACACAAACATGTATCAGAGTCACCGCAGAAATAAATCACATTTCACAGACCCCGAGGGAATCGCTTGCTCTGGGAAACGTCTCTGAACGTCACAAACCGGCATCAGATCTGCAAAGCAAGCAATAGCACACACCACCCAGGCTGTGATGGATAACAGCGCTGCGCTCACATCTCAACGGACGGCATAACGAGTGTGTGTCTCTCACAGCTCTCTGGAGACGTTATCTCTGATAACCTTGAGAGGAGTTTGAGTCGTGATTTATCTGCTACGGGCTCAGAAACATGAGGGCTGTGCTCAGAACAGAGCAGAACATACTACTATTTCTACAGTATGTTTACGTGTCAATTTTCTGTGTGTGACCCAATGCATTTGACAAAATGTGCAACTGGAGCACACTGTATGAAATACTGTAATTGCACTATGCCAGTGTTTCTCAACCTTTTTGACTCCAAGGGCCCTCATTGTCCACAACAATATTTAAAAAACCATAAAGCCCTAGTTTTGTTTCACAAAATGCATTTTGATTTATGTGAACTCCTTAAAATAAAAAAGCATCCGTTTCTGAAAATAAAAAAGCATCTGAAATAAACACAATTAAAGTTTAAAATAATTACGTTTCAGGATTGCAGACGTTTTAGGGGCTGAAGTTTCCTGAATTTGCATGACTTTTCCAGTCTTTCCTGATTTACTGGATAAAAATTAAGCATAAGCATCATTTTTACTCACAATGTCTACCCGATAAAATATTTCAGAGCTTGGCATAGCTAGTAAAATGTATATTGATTATAAAAGTGCCTAAGGAGGTTTACGATTTTATTAATTTATATGATTTTTAAGATACAGAAATCACTTTCAAAATGAGGATTTCTCATCTAGGTTGTTAAAGACTGTGGGAACCCTGGTTCAGTGTTAATTTAGTGTAATTTTATTTAGTTAATTGATAATTTATATTATTTAATCAAATTGTTTTTTTTCTATTTTCCATTTTAGTTTTAAAGGTTGTGTGTCATTTTCACTAGTTATTGTTTTTTATGTCTATATAGTTTTATTAATTTTTGCTTCAGTTTTAGTTTTAGTTATTCTAGTACTTCAGGTTAAACTAAATGAAAATGAGAAATTGTGTTTTGGCAATAGCCAAATTTTATTTATTTTTTTCTTCATTTTATTTTAGTATGCATTTTTTTTTTCTTCCAATTAACAATTTTTAGTTACTTTTGGTTTGAGTTTTAGTTACTCAAAATGATTTTTTTTTTTTTTTTGCTTTAGCTTATTTAAATGCTTGTTTTGTCTTTTTAAATTATATTTTAAATTATTTAAGTAATTTTGAGGCCCCGGACCCCTGGTTGAGAACCACTGCAAAATGCTCAACTTTATTTCCAGTGTGACAAATGAACTAGAAATGTCAGCAACAATTTTGACTATTTTGATTCATTATTTGATCATTTGACTGCCTTGAATTCACACCTTAGTGCACAAAATTTAACTAAAAATTGGTAACAATCGTATTTATTCAACATCATAACTGGACGCCACTCGCATGCAATTCAAAAGGACGATTATTTAAAACATTCATCATGAAATAACGCCTGCATTTTAAAAACAGTACTGTATACTGAGTGCAGTATTCTAATAAAGTAGTATGCCAGTATTCCAGTCCAAACACAGCACAGATAATAAACCCGTCTGCAGCCAGAACGCCACGCTCTCAGATCAATGACATAAAAGAGAAACAAAGCAAGATAGGACATGAATCATTGCATATTTCAAGAAGACATCCTATTCATCTTATTCATTCTAAAAGTTAAAACGCACACAGAAGGATCCTCAAATCTCAGCGTTCGCTCTGAGCTCCGCTAATTGCTCTGAAGTTCAAAAGTAGCACACGAGCCAGAGAGCCGAATGTTTTGAAGTGCAGATATTTTATGCATCGCCTGCACAAACATCAAAAACAGCCCCGAAAATCTGCTTACGGATCCATCTACACCGATTTCCCTACAAACGCAACAACTACAGGCTTCCTCCTTTAATCTGTTACATATACGGAGGCCAAACTGATGCTGTTTCAGGCAGAAAACATCAGGAAAACTGTCTGAAAGTGATGCAGCTTAAGAAAGTCAACATGGAAACAAAACTTCTCCATGTTATTCAATGGAATGCACAGATATTGGATGCAGTGGTAGACCGATATATCAAGAAATGGAATGAATCATCTGATATTTGGTGATTTTGAGATCATCAGCATCAGCTACTAATTGGCAGATTAACAGAGGCATTCATTTAGCTTACAACCGTCAACATTTTCTAGTAAATAATGGGTAAAATTGGCATTTAATTTTATAAAGACTCTTCTGCATTAAGCACAGCAAGCAACACGGTGTTTTGTTACTGAATGAATCAGTGTTTTTGAACGAATCGAGCCAAAACTGATGATTAATCTGCACAAAAATTTGAATCACTTGACAGCCCTAGATATACCATATTATATCTGCCATCTGTAAGAGGCATCGCCATTGAAAACCCCATATCGGTCAACCACTAATGTGTGTGTATATACAACTACCACATGCACTGGTCTGAGCCCAGATGCATTCTGGGTAGCCTTGAAAAAGAGCATTGCAAGAGACAGAGAGAGAGAAAGAGAGCCGTGACAGTGAATGAGGAACAGATTAGAGTAATTTGTATTGATTTCGTCACTCCCATCTTCCACATCTCCTCATCTTTCACTCGGAGTCAGCGAGGACCGTCGTTCCCAGAGAGGTCAAAGGTCTCTCCGGCGGTCAGGAACTCCTCAGCTAGAGTGTGTGTGTGGACCGAGCCTCAGTCCTTCAGGTTGTCCTCTCCGACGCCCTGGGCGGCCAGTTCTCTCATCACGTTGTCCAGATAGTTGGGGTCGGGGTAGCCGTGGCCCGTGAGGTTGGAGCCGAACTCGGTCTTGTGGTGAATCTCGTTCCACACCACCGTGTCCGTCTCTCCCGTGGTGCTGGACGTCCCGATGGTGAAAATCAAACGACGGTCCCACGCCATGATTAGCAACTTCAACACCTGAAATGAGCCATAAAAACAATGTGAACCTGCATTCACAGCATGCACAAATATTTATTAATATCATATAATATATAATATAATAATGTATTATATATGATTAATATATAGCTACTATTAATAGATCCATATTTTTATAATAAATAGATAATACTTTATTTCAACATTTTTGTTTTTATATATATATATGTGTGTGTGTGTGTGTGTGTGTGTGTGTGTGTGTGTGTGTGTGTGTGTGTATAAACAAATTTTTTTTTTAAGTATTAATATACACACGCACACACACACACACACATAAACAAAAAATGTTAAAATAAAGTATTAATATTTGTTAATATACACACACACACACACACACACATATAAACTAAATTTTTTTAAATAAAGTATTAATATTTGTTAATATACACTCACACACATACATATATATACATATGACTATTATATACACATTTATATTTATATATATATTTTATTTGCATATAAGATTATATTATATTTCACATTTTTGTTTTAATTTTTTGTTTAAGTTTTAAGTATCATTGATATACAGTTATAGAATTTCTTATTTTATATATCTTATTATATACTATTGTAATTTATTTTTATATAATTTTTTTTTTTATTATATTATATTATTTAGTAAAAGTTTTAGTAATTATTATGTGTTATTTATTTATATATATATTTTTAAAGATATGTCTATATAGTTTTTGTTCGTTTTTATTTCAGCTTTTGTTTTTTAGCACATCACATTTTCACAACTTCATGAAAAGGAGAAATGTTTCTTTGGCGACATACAGTAATAGCTGAAATAATATTTCAGAAAACATTTATTTTATTTTGAATTATATTTTATATATAGGTTTAGTTTACTATAACAACCCTGTTATAGTCAATATTTAATTTAATCCATCCAACATTTCGGATTCTGGAATTCATGATTTTGGAATTAAAATAAATAAATAAATAAATACATATAAGTTTTCTTTTTTCTTCAAACAACACTGGGTGAACACCTTAACTTGTCAAAATAATGAAAACAAGTATTTTATTATTTATAATTATTTATAATTTTTTTTTTTTATTTTAATAATTGTTCATTAAATAAAACACAACATTTAAAAAAAAATGAAAGATCCATTGATTTACATCAGATCTCAGTTCTCACCTTCCGTCCTTTCTCGTTGTCTGGTAAGTAGCAGTGTCGAGGAAATCCGCGTGCGCTGTACTTTTTCCCGGGATTCGGGTGCTCTGTGGTCTGGACAAAACACACACAAAACACACGCGGTCACACTTCACACACCGCTCGCTCAATTAGCACACAGCGGAGAGGAAACGCTAACGACGGCCTGAGGCCTGCTGTTATTCAGAGCCGTGAACACGAGATCCGTCCCGCTGAACACATCACAGCTTCACACACAGATCAAAGCCAGACCAGCAGAACAGCATTACTGCAGTGAATGAAGCTTTAGACTCAATCCCTCTCATCTCACAAAACACACACACACACAGCCTGCGCTGGGAATATTAATGAGCAGATATCATGGGGAAAAGGATTTTCTTGCTCCTTTGAATTAGTTTGATGTACTGTGTTACATATTTGAACATTCACATCCTCATTATTTATTAGCATCATTATAGCTGTCAGTAGATCATTCACATGTAGAAGTCTAAAAAGTACAATTACAAAAACAGGACTTTTAATTGTCACTGTCAGAAAGACGGAGGAAAATTATCATGCAAAGCTAAACTGCTTTTGTGCAAGAATCCTTTCCTAATAATATAGTTAACTAAACAATAAGAAACATTTTTGTTACTTGAAATAACTGAACTAAAATAAAATATGAAAAAAATTAAAATAAATTGGCTAGTTGCCAAGGCAACATTTCTCATTTTCATTTAGTTTAACTTGATGTAGTAAAATAACTCAAACTGAAATATAAAATAATAAAAAAACTTTATAGACATATTTTGTCAAACTAAAATGAAAACGGAAAAAAACTATAATATTATCTCAATGATTGTAAAATAACACTGAACTATATTTCTATATCCATAAATACACAAATGTATCTCTAAAACTGATTAAAATTAATATTCTAAACTTGAAAAGTATATAAAATATATACAAATAGAAATGTATATAATAATTGCATATATAAATTAAAAATATATTTAATTATTTAATATATAAATACTTATATAATGTTTAGATTGTAGCATTCTTAATATAAATAAATATTAATAAATATTTGTGTATTTTTTATTGCCTAACTACTCTCCAAATTGCTAAACTACAATTACATTATTAAAACTCCAACTAACTAGAACTACATAGAACTACATTTCTTGGCATGTTGAGGGTGTTAGTGATATTTTTTATCAAGTTAATCTTATGACGTCGGAGCCCAGAAAGTGAGTGGGTGGCTGATCGTGCAAAACTAGTGTGCAAGTACATGAGAGATAATGACCCAGAATGAGCTGCGCCACTGCCCCCATTGAGCAGGAAATCCCCACGCAGCCACTTCCTGTCTCACGCATGGTAAAACACGGTGACCAGAAGCCACAAGCCCACGGGTCATTCTGCAGCAACAGCCTGACATGTTAAATATGGGTGCAAAGCCTTTCTCATGAAAACTGGGCCACCTGAAGCGAAGAACAAACATTTCAGTTCACACACCTCTTCCTACAAACAGCCTTTTGTGTCCCTCATTAACATCTGTGTAAATAATGATCGAAATATTCAATTAAATTTAAAAAAAAAAAGAATTATTTTACAGCCTGTTGTGTTTCCAACGCCTCCTAGCTGTATTTGCAAACACGCACAATGAAAAAAATAAAATTATATATATATATATATATATATATATATAAAAATGTATATACCATTGTACAGTTACAAGTAGTTGAGGTATTTACTTGGATGTAAAAATGTATTCATTTCTGTACAGAGTTAAGCGGTTTACTTTAAAATAAAATTAAAATTAAAATATTTTAAATAAAATGAATAAACACCTTTGTGCAGCGTTGAACTATTTTATTGAATGTAAAATAAAAATCTCCAATACCAATCTCACGGGCACTTGGATGTAAAAATGTATTCATTTCTGTACAGAGTTAAGCGGTTTACTTTAAAATAAAATTTAAAATTAAAATTAAAATATTTTAAATAAAATGAATAAACACCTTTGTGCAGCGTTGAACTATTTTATTGAATGTAAAATAAAAATCTCCAATACCAATCTCACAGGTTACTACTGTAGAAATATCAGCATTAAAATGATTTCTAATAAGAATAACTTCAAAACTGTCATTTTTATAATTGCTTATATACTGTAGTGAAAATTAAGTTATCTTAAAAGTATTCAAACTTCAAGACATTTTTTTCTAACATAAAGTTTATATTTACTTATTATTTAGAAATGTATTTCTAATAATTTCTGAAGAAATGTTAAGAATGTATTTATTATACTTATATTAATTTGGAATAATCCATTGAATTGAATATACCTGTATCCCAGCGGGAATGTCATAGACGATCCGTATAGTCTTGGAGTCAGAGCATCCTGGTAGAGAATGAGGAATCACGTGGTACTCCATCTTCCCAGGAGGCTGTGTGCCGGTTTTCTCCCCGTAGATGGCCTTACAGGTGGGACACTGCAGACTGCCATCCTGAGAACAACATCAGACACATTAAACACAACAACAACACCCGAGGAAACTCAGGAGAGCTCGTGATGGATCAGCTGGGACATTCAGAGGCATCGGAGACATGCAGTACAATCGCACCAATGTGTCTGTTTATGTTTCATGCTTAGATGCACTTCATTAAAGATGAGCAAAATAATGCAGTACCGACACACTGTGTGGATGCAGCGGCACACAAAAGCAAATATTTTCAGTTACCAACATCATTATTGAACTCTATTCACAGATGTATTTGTCACCCGTGATTCATTTATAATAGTGTTTTCTTTCCTGTAGTTTAAACATTACAGCATGGTGCTTGCAACATCAAAGTCATGGGTTCAATTCCTACACTCTAAAAAATGCTGTGTTCAGCTTGCTGGGTCATTTTATTGGGTTGTTTTTCATATTTTTAACCAGGTGCTGGGTAGTTGTTCTGCACTCTAAAGAAATGCTGGGTTATATTTTAAACCTAAATGCTGTGTTCAGCTTGTTGGGTCATTTTATTGGGTTGTTTTTCATATTTTTAACCAGGTGCTGGGTAGTTGTTCTGCACTCTAAAGAAATGCTGGGTTCAGCTTGCTGGGTCATTTTATTGGGTTGTTTTTCATATTTTTAACCAGGTGCTGGGTAGTTTCTTTGCACTCTAAAAAATGCTGGGTTCAGCTTGTTGGGTCATTTTATTGGGTTGTTTTTAATATTTTTACCTAGGTGCTGGGTAGTTTTTTCCTGCACTCTAAAAAATGCTGGGTTATATTTTAAACCTAAATGCTGGGTTCAGTTTGTTGGGTCATTTTATTGGGTTATTCTTTTCTATTTTTAACCAGGTGCTGGGTAGTTTTTCTGCACTCTAAAAAATGCTGGGTTATATCTTAAACCCAAATGCTGGGTTCAGCTTGTTGGGTCATTTTATTTTGGATATTTTTAATACTTTTACCCAGGTGCTGGGTCAAATTTCTGTAACTAAGTTTCTAGGTCATTTTTAAATCTGGATTATGTTTTTCTACCCAACCCCTGGGTCCACTACAGGAGAGAGCGGTTCATAGTGCTGCCGATTTGGTGGTCTTCTTCAGCGAAATAAAGGTGTGTATACATTTTATTTCATTTGTAATGTCTTTACTGTGCTGTAAATTATATTATTTTACGCAACGCAACATACAAGGAGGAGATGTCAGTCAGCTACACCAGCAGCGGTCACTTCGCATTATGGAAACGCCTTTTGACTTGCATAACATAAACGGAGTTTATTCAATTTAATACTGAATTTAATTAAATTTTATGTTAAAATATGTTCTCTAATCTCAGTACTGTTTGATAATGGGCAGGTTATGAAGTCAGTCACGGCATCTTTCAGCTACGAGTGAAAAGCGGTCTAAAGTTTGCAGATCCCCCGGCAAACAGCAGCCCATCACCGGCTCAGATTTCGGCGACAGACCGGCACGAGAATTAGCACTATTTCGGTGAAAAGTGGTTACAGAGAATGGTTGAATACACTTAAATTAAAATGCTACTTTTAAAGTTATATTTTAATTTCTAAAATGCTTGTTAAATTAGTTTAAATGTAAATAGATAAATAAAATAAATACATTTCAATAATTAAATACATTTTATTCATTTAAATTAAATAAATATAATTTTTATATTTGGGTGAGCTATCTCTTTAAGGAACCGATTAAACGGTTTTCAGAACCGGTTCATTGAACCGAAATGTCCAAAAGAACCGGTTTGCCGAATTGAATCGGACTTTGCATCATTATTATGTGGTGTAGATGATGAGATATTCAGTCTTCACAATTTTGTTGAGGGACATTATTATGAAATCAATCCACAATTAGTAGACGCACAGGCCCAGGCTGTTGATTCACAGTAGAAAATCATACTAAAGAGACAGAACAGTAACAACAACATATGCTCACACTGACAAGCGCTTGCATGAGAGGGTTATGAGATTACAGCAACTGTAGTTTAAAAGACTACAAAGACATTTTTACCAGTCATAACTTCTGGAGAAAAACACAGCAGACGCTGGACAAAGATGAAGCTTTCCGAAGTATACTTTGGGCTCAAGATACTCTATTTATACCCAATCATGTTACTGACCTGTTGCCAATTAGCCTAATTATCTGCAAATTTTCCTCCCACTTTTTCTTTTTAGTAACTTACTTTTCCAGCGTTTTGTTAACCCATCCCAACTTTTGAAAAATGTTGATCTAATTAAATTCTGTCCCTTAAATGGTACATTTCCTCAGTTTATATATTTGATATGTTTTACTATGATCTACTGTTAATATAATATGGATTTATGTGATTTGCAAATCATTGCATTCTGTTTTTATTAACATTTTACACAGCATCCCAACTATTTTGGGGTAGTATTTTTATGTTTTTTTTATGGGTTTAGTTTTAGTTAACTATAATAGCCCTACAGAGGTTTTCTGTTTTTGCATGAATCTTCAGTGTTTTCCGTAGCATTGATTTTCGACAAACTGCATGGAAACCAATGTGGGTTAATTTGACTCGCAACACTACGGTGACGCATTGCTGCCGCACACATATTATTTTTTCCA